TAACTTCTCATAGAAAAGCTCGACCAACACAACTTCAAGCTGTCAGTTAGAGAGCAGCTTACATAGACTGTAAAAAACTTGTTTTCAAATCTTTTTGCAGCGTTCCAGATTGTTAACGATTTATACTGAAAACACGAGAGTTCAATCTGTAGTTGGTTTTCTCATTATTTATCTCGGGAGTTCCTTTTCGTCAAAGATCATGAAGATGTTATTGAAGAGTAGAAAAATTTTTGATGAAATTTTTGTAAGCAACTATTTCACAAAGGGAGCAGTTGCAGATTTTCCAAAATCAAACCGACGGAACTTTCCGTTCAACCTCAACGAATGAAAAAACATTGTACAAGTTAAATTACCAAGGATTTTGGAAAGATTTTTAAAAATTTCTGCAAGGCGTATGTTCCAACCTAAGAAAACCTTATACTATACTGGAGGTTGGTACTGGTAGACTAGACAGGAAGTTCAACTCTCCGTAAAGGCATTGAATGGACAAGGTCGCATCATTCATATGGATCGAACATTGGACACTGCTGCTGCGTGCACATTGTTTGCATAGGGGTTGTGGTTGCCTGCGTGCAAATTTATGACGCGCGGAAACGTTCGCTTTTTGTCGCTCTGTAAATCTGCTTGTGTTGTCATAACTCTTCTTTTCTCTGATTTACAAATGAATGGTCATTTGAACTCCCTGGTTCCACTAAACGCTTTAGGACTGCCATAAACAATGCAAATTATGCAAAACGTTGATATCTTCTTTGGCCAGACGTTCTCTCCGCCAAAACAAGCACAGACTCAAAACACATGTGCATGAGACAATCTTTAATAACACTAATAGCGCGTTGTTCCTCTCTTGAATATCAGGAAAGAGCGTCTGGCTAGTCAGTATTTAGGCATTGTCCTCTCTTCATATAACGAACAGTAGGGTAGTAAATAGTCTGCCAGATGGCAATGAGTCGAAATGAATACGTCATTATCTGCTTCGCTCCATCGATTTCAAACTTTTGGCACTGAAGCACGAGTCTGCACTTTGTGTCCATGCCACTGTGTAGTTTTGGAGCTTTTGCGCGGTTCCAAAACTTATTAGGGTTTACTTATAGAATTTGTCTTCACTTTCATCAATCCAAATTCCTATTTCATATTGATCGTAATTAACTCGAGCGTCATTTCAATTTGAGAGTCGTTTCTAATCTCTTTTTTTTTACAAATCTTCCAGTTTCTTTACCATTTATACAAGTTTCTGCTACCTCGACAAGATAAGTGCGATCTTATCAAAGTTTTATCATACTTCTTTCTACGAATTGGTCACCGTTAAATCTGCTTTTTCTCTACCAAACTCATATATCACCTAAAGAATTTATTACTTGCCATTTTGATCGTTTGCCTGGTATTGCAAGGTTCATAATAATTTAACACTGTTTGCTTATGGGCTTCTGACGCTGAAAAGAATTTCCGGAGTTCACTGGGGTTGATAGAGGAGAGAAATTCCTACTGTCGTGTCAATGCAGTAACGCGCCGTGAACAGTCCCCCCCCCCCCATCCCCTTGGCAGTCTCTCAGTGCTGAATCATATCGCCGATTCTTCGCAAGTTTTCTCGATAACGCATCAATCAATCGCTTCTTTTCAACGTTTGAACATAAAAATTTTTTGCAGGCTATTAACCAATTCGTGCTTCTCAATGTTAGCATCTTTTTTTGAAGAATCTATTCATACAGTATTATTTATAAGGTTTTTACACGATCCCTAATTTTGAACCCAAAATCCTGCATCGGATTTTGCAAGCATTCGCTGTAGAAAATCTCTCACTGAGTTCTGTCCGGCCAACGAAATTTTTTTTTGCTCTTTATTATTTCTCACGAGCGCAAGCCATCCATTATGCTTTTTTTTCTATTGCATCCCCATCGATAACTCTCGATTCCAGTCGTAATGGAAGAATTGCACGTTCATGCTTTACCGCTATTCTTTTACATATCTTGGCTATCCGATTTTTGGAAAATGATTTAGTCGAATTTCGAAAATTAAAATGACAAAAATTTTTTTGTATCATGATACATTCTAATATGGTCTTTACATATCTGATTAACTGACTTGATCTCAGCGAACATTGATACACAGCTCTAGCTCAAGTGATTAGAAATATGCAGATTTGCTTACCAAAAGTGGGGCGATAATGTCTCTTTGCTTATCTTACAGTCTGTATGCAGAAGAATTTTGCCCCTCCCCCTATCACTCTACCCCTCTGCCATGTGTATAAGCTGTAAGTGCGCGAGAGACAAGTTTACACATGTGTGAACACGACCTTGACCCGAAGGTGATTCGACGATTGTTACCCTGCAGAGTACTATAGTTTTTTGTCCAAATTTTACATCTGTCTTGATTTCTGATTTTTGAATTGAGTAATCTAAAACTTCATGTTTTTGATTTTTATTGTGTAATACCGATGATAAGTGAAATTCACTTCTAAGATGAATGTCTAAACATAGCGCTCGCTTTCCTTCATATTTTTTGACCATGCTGACCAGCAAGGCCATCGAGCGGGCTCTCAGTCTGTTTAGTATTCTAATCTCTCATTTCTACCCGTGAATGGCAGCGGTTTTTGTCGTTTGGCAGAAGCCAATACGCATCTGGAGGCAATAATCTCTGCTTTTAAAAACATCGCCCGCCCAGAAAGGTTGATGGCATTCTGATGTTATATGATAGCGATGCCTAACTAGGTAAACGCTTCAGTTCCGCTGCAAAAGATGAATTCCGAGGCGAGGAATCCACTTTAGAAGGTCGAAGCGGCTAAGGTGGTTCCACCCATCAACGTGGGTGGTTTGGAGATAACAAGTCAAAACGGAGCTTGAATGCATCCAGAACTGTCAGTCGCGCAGTATTACGATTATCAGACTTCCGACACTTCCATCTACCCCGAGACCATCCAAATCTGGACCTGTTGTCTTCAGGCCACCCAGGTCGATGGGAAGAGCCACCTGGGCCGCTTCTACCTTTCGGAGCTATTTTCTCGCTTCGGTTATTTTTTTGCAGCGAGACTTGGGAGGTTACTTAGCTAGGGGCCCACGAATGTAACAGCCTCAATATCTCATCAACCTCACCTAGGGTGGACGAAAAATCCGAATCATTCATTTTGTAAAGTCGAAGCAAGGTATAACACTGCTGATGTGAAATACATTTTCTTTTTGGAATTTCTAAACGTAGCAAAATTTTTTACGACAATTTTCAACATCTAACATATGTTTTCCTTTTCTTGGTGTAACGGTCACCGATGAATGCTTGTTTTTGCTAGAAATTGTCCTCCTACATTCTGTAACCCCGTATCATCGCTGATACAGCTGTTGGTCAAGACGTTCTCTTTGGCAAGAACATAATCCTTGTAAGATGCATTTTTTTACAACATGCCTTGATGGCATTTTCGACAATAATCAATGGCTATGCTAACATAATCCCGTGCAAATTAAGTTAATCTCCTATTCCGTCTAAATATTTGCATCATCTCATAATCCATCATTTCAACTCTTTTTCAGTATTTTATCTGTTTCAGACTATGCGATTATTGTCGAAAATGCCATCAAAGCATGTTGTAAGCTATCAGATTACTCTGTCAAAGAAACCGTAACTATGCAAAAACAATTCTTAGATATCAGTTTTTGTTCTTGAGTGCACATTGGTGCAGAGCCTGATTTATAGCGAGCAACTGTCCAGTTTTCTGCAGTCAGGTTCGATAAACAACCTTCAAGCTCACTAGTCATCTTGCGCTTTCTGAATCGTGCTGCGTATCAAGTCACGCAGCCTGCAGATTATTACAAACAGAGTTGACGCATGGTACTTTTTTTTTTCGACAGAAGCACGATAACCCAAAATGAAATGCTTTTAACTGAAATGCGCACAATAATGTGCAAAAAATCTCCCTACTTGTCAACTACTTGTCAATCTGATCAAATTTGGAAAGATAAAATTCGCACCTTTGGTTTTTCTTGCAAAGGAGTTTTTCTTGCTGAGGAAAACAGTTACTTATCATTTTATTTTTCATACCCCTTCCAATCCCTAACAGCTGTATTTCGGAAGCTGGTATTTCTTTATTCAACAAATTATTGCAGTTCAGTCAATCGCCGTGCTTTTGGATTTTTTGACGTGTCATGTTCTTGGGTTAAGTAGACGTTGTGCCTTGTATATCCTCTTCTTGAAAATCAATGTCAACATTAATTGTTAATTTTTATGCAAAGTATTGCCGCTTCTGTCAATTACACAGCTTTATTTGACTAGTGCCGTATCACCATTTTGATATAGAGCAATTTTTTACTGATCAGTGAAAAAATTGTTCGAGGTGCAGTTACTCTAAGTACTACTTTCAATTGTTTTTGCATCATAATATATACGTTATGTATAAAGTTCTCATATCATTCAATGGAGGTTATATTTTTTCGTCAAAGAAGCATCACTGGAAAGCTCAAATACATACCGGAGAAATATAAATCCTAATTAGTCAATTTTTGAAGACCATTGATTGCATGGTTTGGAGACAGCGCCCAGCAAAATTCGAACCCCTCCAGTTAGTACCTAGCCTGAATGTAGGCCCCAGGAGAGGGGCATCTGCGTTGGTCCGGTCCTCCAGTGTTGTTTCTGAGTGGACCTGGCCGCAAAAGTGTCGTCAAGCCTCGCCCACCTCACGCCCACCCTGTCAAGCTCCGCCCACCCATGCTGAAATCGTCCGTGCCTTCAAAATAGAGCTCCCAGAAATCGAGTTTTTTGAGGATTTTGGCTCATTTTGCGCTTCATATCTTTGATCAGGGACACGGAAAAGCCCGAAAATGACAAAAACATGGGAGGCAAAATTTTGAGTGGACTTTGCTTTCAAGGTTGTTGTCGTGCCCTTTTCAATATGTATTCACGTCTTACATTTTTTTGAATATGACTGAGTTTTCAGCAGTTTAGTCCGTCCCCTTGTGTCTCCTTGCAGTGCGTTTACCAAGATGATTTTGTTGTCATTCATTTTTCTTCCAAGTCCATCGAATTCTCTCTTCTTATTTTCAGAGATGCGTTGGAGTGCAGTATTACATCGGACTTTGATGCCATTATCAAGTCGGCTGTCCGCTCCTGTTCTCGGAAAAACTCCTAAACGGGTAACAGCAGATGAAGCTGTTAGTGCGATTGGATCAGGTACAAATGCTGCCAAGCTTCCTGACTTCAAGAAAAAATGGGCTGTTCTATAGACACAGATATCTATGTTCATGCTCATGCATCCACACCTACTGAACTACTCGATGCACTTTGTAAACGGGTTGACACGCAAGGGTTGAGTGATATTCGAATGATTCATATTCTTCTTGGTGGAAGAGTTCCTTGGACGGACAAGAAGTACATAGGTTTGCGAAAGGCAGAAGTTAGGGAAATCAGAGTAATTTTCGTTTTTTTTTTAGGTAAAATCCGGTCAAATTGCTTATTTTTAGAAGGTAGCTTGCGGCCTTTGGTGAAGGAAGGTAATGATGTAAATCGCTTTTTTACAAAAATCATATTCTCGCTACAGGAAATGCTGATTACATACCTATTTTCCTCTCGGACATGCCTTCTTTCTTCCACAATAGATCATTTCCTGTTGATGTCGCCTTGATATCAGTCACTCCACCGGGCAAGGGGCATCTCAATAACCTGTCCTTTCCTAATTTTCTGATTTACAGATGACCTCGGCTATTGTTGCGTAGGTGTAAATGTTGACACTTCACTGGCGGCAATAGAAAGTGCAAAAAAGATTATTGGTGGGTTGTCTTCATCTAAGTCTAGATATGAATTTTTCGTATAGATCATATTTCCAGCCGTTGTCAATCCAAAAATGCCTCGTACGTATGGAAACACTGTTATTCATCAGTCACGAATTGACTCAATGGTTGAGATTGATAGGGATACCTACGGCAATCCCGAAGGAATGCAGATCACAGAGGTTGATTAAAGTCTTTCTCACGTGTTTCCAATAATCATCAGCTTTTTTTGCAAAAGATCTGCTCTCAAACCCCTGCTTTCTTTCTAAGGGAATGTTCGCCTGGCTTCATGGACCAAACAGTATTTTACGTTTTTTCTTCTGTTGCCATGCCGCAATTGAGCCACCAAATATGATGCTCATTTAAGCTGCTATTTTCCATATGCGTGAAGGTACTTTCATACTTTTCAATAATGTAATAGTATTAAGCTTTCTAAAAGACGATTTCTTTTTGACATATTTCCAAAAAAAACTTTTATTGTTACTTTTCATCCATGGTTTTAGGGAAAGTAATTTAAAGTTATTATAACACCTCGACTACTCAGAATTTTCTACTAATATAAAGACGTTAGGAGTCATGATAGTATTAAGGAGGAGTAAGGAGTTATGCCCCAATATTGCTAAATTTCCAAAAACTCAGTTTTTTGACTTTCTATTTTCAAAAGCTCAGTGTCTTGGCTTTCTAAGCTTCGTTCTCAAGATGCGATAGATGTAGAAATGAGTTAGGTCTCTGTATACAAGTCTTCTCTGTTTAGCGAGTTGAAATAAAAATTATGAGTTGCCATTCTGAAATTCTTAAATTAGACAAACAAACTTTCCTCCTTGCGCACAAACAGAAAATTTGAGGGTCTCACTTCCTTGCGCCTTTTCTTCGTAGCGATAAATGTTGCTCCAAAATTACTCACATTCTAACTCTTATTGGAGTGCACTTTTCAGAAATACCAAACACTAGACAAATATTCGCGTGCAGCGTTTTAAGAGCAGCAAAAGCCTAGAAATTTTCTCCTTTTATCAAATCACTCCACCTTTCTCGCTTTGTAATTATAATAATTTAGCTTTGGAATCCACTGCCCAAAATATACTTACTTATAAGGAAAACTACCTAACTTAGCTCGGGCTGATTCCAATTATGCTATTCCTAGCTGCCGCGCACCATTCCGAAGAGATTTATGGGCTTTTTTTGCGCAAAATTGGCATACTACTGAACATTGCAATACTGCCTGTAGGTAAAAATTTGCTAAAAAAAAGAAACGAGACTTCAAAATAACACATATCCAAGTTTTCCTCACTAGAAAGAAGCTTAACGCAATTGTATTAGCACTGAGATGATGATGCCGTGATGCCAATGAGCCGATGAGTTTGCCAGTTTTGCGAAAAAAAAAACCCATCGTTCCGGATTGATGTTCGGCAGCTAGGAATAGCATATTTGGAATCAGCGATTGAAGCTAATCGACATCTACGATCTTCTAGGATGACCTCGGTGGTCACTTTCACGAGTTTCAGATGCGAAAATCGTATTCAGCTCATTCCCCGCTGGTCCATCCGTTCCACGAACACGTCTACCCATCTCGTTGGTCTTCCTCGAGGACTTTGGCTTTGCGAAGAATCCATTCAGATGTTCTTAGTGTCCATCTGTCGTCTGTTCTTCTCATGATCTGACCGGCCCATCGGTGTTTCGCTTTCGCAACGTATTCCGCTGAGTCACGAAGACGGGACATTCTTCTCGTATCCGTACTGCGAAATCTGGCAAGATGTTGTTTGTGTCGAGTGATCTTCAGAGGACTATGCTCAAGCGCTCTGTGGGTGGTCCGTGGAGCTTTCGACTTGGCTACAGTGTCGGCCCACTCAGCTGCGTAACAGAGCGCCGGAACGGTTGAGTCGAACAGGTGGGCACGGGTCCGTTAGCTGGTCAGTGGCTTCCTTCAGAGACCTGAAGGCGGCCCAGGCTGCTCTTCTTCTCCTGTTAATTTCTCCACTCAAGTCGTTTTCCACGCTCATCGAACGTCCAAAATATACGTAAGAAGACATCTCCATAATGGGGTACCTTTCAGTCCATTTCTGCATCTTCGCTTAGGGCGTTCTTCATAAACTATGTTTCTCTTTTAATTTATTCGCGTTCTGATTTTTTCCCTTACTTCGATTAGTTTCCTCAGCATCGTCTCTGCTTCAGTGATACTGCTCGAAAAGAGAACGATGTCGTCTGCAAAAAGAAGACTGGACAGGAATCTCCCATCAACTCCTATGCCTCTCTCGTCCTAATCCAGTGACTTCATCATCACTGCAAAGCCGCGGTGAACAACTTCGGCAAGATTGTAGAAGGCAAGACCCCTAGTTCTGTTGATCCCCATCCGCTCTTCTTAGAAGGACGGTTCTTGATGTTTCTTGGTCGGAAGTTTTTTCATTTTGAAGATAAGATGTCAGATGCAACGCGAGAATCTTCTGTAGACGGTGTCCTCCGCTTGCAGAAGTTCGAAAGATGATCTGGTCCTAACCGAGGACATTTTGATAGTCTGAATCGGTGCCCACTTCAGCACGTAGAGTTCGTGGCGGTGCTTCTCCACTGGAATAACGGGCATCGGCACGGGTATTGATGAGCGAAAGTAATTGGTGTTGAAATTGTTCGCGCTAGAATCCATCTCATGCCGGGAGGATGGGGTTCCGCCTTCGTTCAGTAGTGCAGCCAGCGGACGGGTATTCACAAAGATCCCTTCGGCACTTCTTGAGACTTCGTCTTTCTTCGGCTGCTTCCAATATCTGGCTTTTCTGTACTTCCTGAGATCCTCCTGCAAAGCTGTTCTGCAACTTGGCTATCAGTCGCTCGAGATGAGTTGCAATCGGCTCCTGCCTCAGTAACCTTCTTCTTTCGAGCAGTTTCTTGGTGGTCATCGAAATACGTTATAAGTTCTTCTCAAAAGCCACTGAGGCACACTCTCCGCAGGCTCGCGATATTTTTAGAAGCCGGTCGTAGTCCTACGTTGAGTCCCCCCCCCCCTCGATGGGTCAGTCACAATTTGATATGAGCCTCTCCAGCCTGCTACCGTCATAAACGACTTCCTTCCTTTTCGCTGCACTGTGACAGACTTTCTTTTCCAGCATTCGGCTGAGCCGTATCTTTGCTCGAAGGAGGCGTGATCGGAGCCACTGCAGAAGGATGGAATTACTGAGACATCAAACAAGCTCCACCTTCGGTTGGTGAGAATGTGGTCGATCTCCGTGTAAGGTCGTTCGGTTGGATTCCTATGTCCACCGACCGTGTTCTCTCTTCATGAAGATGAAATTCCCATGAAAAAGTCGTGCAGCGGAGAGAAGCCCAACAAAACGGTTGATGTTTTCGTTCCGAGCCCATATCCAAACTCGTCGATCCTATATTCCTTTAGTAGTATCTCGAATTTCGAAAATATACAATTCAATAGATAGCTGCGGTCATTAGGCTCCACGAAAAGGATGCGTTTATATTAGTCATTTCGGTCATTTCTTGATTTTTTTTTGATTTTTCCCTGTTGAGGTTTACTACAATGATAGAACTGCGATGCAGTGGTTGGGAAAAAGCTCTGTACTTCTCTAGTAAATGTACAGATATTTACCCTACCCAAACAAAAAACTCGGAGAATTCCAGTAGATCATGGTTTTACCACCGTGTCGTATTCAATCAGCATTTTATATTTTCTGAAAATTGCTCAAATTTATGTTTGTAAATCACGGTTGTTTGTTCCCTTTTTGGGCTACCTCACTCATAAACTTGTTTTTACCGTTTCTTTTCAGCGCTAATTTGTATTACCGCGATATCTTCATCAATTTCTAAGCCAAGGAAGAACAGTTCGCATTTTCTTCATACGTGTGACATATGCATTTAATAGTTAGAGATTCTATCTTAACAAATTATTATTAGCATAGGTAATTGTATTTCTCTTTTTGCGCACTCCTCTGATTTCCAACTTTTTCTTCAGTATCAACCACTGTACCGTAACGTTTTATACAGTTTGCTGAAAACAACTGAAAAATCATGCATGCTACGCGACGAATATGAACATTGAAGAAATTACAGTTAAATTACAACCATTCGTTTTCAGGAGGAACTAAAAATCGGTAAAATAATAGCTGAAAATCTCGTCGAAGATGGTGCTACACTTCAGTTAGGTCATAGGTCCACTTTATTCACATTCATTACACCTACTAAAAGCTGCTTTACAGGCATTGGCGCAATTCCTGATTCGACATTGTTGGCAATGAAAAACCACAAAGACCTGGGAGTGCACACAGAGCTGCTTGGTGATGGAGTGGTGGACCTCATCAAATCTGGGGCTATTAACAACTCCAAGAAATCGGTCATGCCTGGAAAGGTTTGTTAACAAGTCTCAAAAAAAGTTTTGCACTAAGCAAAGTTTAGGTTGTGACAAGTTTTGCATTTGGCACGCAGAAATTCTACAAATTTCTCAACGAAAATCCGATGATTCGTGAGCTTTCTATTGCTATTGCAGTCATTGAAAAAGACAATAAAAGAATCTTTCAGATTTCGATTGCTGTAGCTGGACTAATCATTCTGACGTCATAAGAGCCAATTCTAAGATGACTTGTATCAATTCTGGCATTGAGATCGATATCACTGGTCAGATTTGTTCGGACTCCATTGGAAAGGCTTTCTATTCGGGTACCACAGTTAACACTAGAATCTCATCTATTCTCTAGACCTAAGTTGTTTCTGTAAGGTTTTGGTGGACAAGTAGACTTCATGACCGCGGCAGCAACCACCTATGATGGTCAGGGTAAAGCCATCATAGCGCTCACATCTAGGACCAACAAAGGAAAGTCAAAGATCTCAACTACGTTAACGGAGGTACAGTTGATCAATTTTACTTCAATAACTCAAGGTTGATTTTTATGGAAAAAAAAGTTTTCTAGGGCGCTGGAGTGGTAACAACCCGAGCTCACGCTAGATATGTAGTTACTGAATATGGCATTGCAAGCCTTGGTGGTAAGAATGTTCGACAACGAGCGTATGCCTTGATAAATATTGCACATCCTGATGATCGGGAGCGACTAGAAAAGGAGGCTTTCCAACGATTGAAATGCATGCCTTCGCCTTGATGTATATAATGACCTCATAAATATTTATTATCAAGAGAGTAACAATTAAGTAAATTGATCATTGGAAGAACCTACTAGGATTTTTGCATCGAAAAAGGATTAAAATAAACTGTGCTCAACAATGCATATTTTGGAGAACTTTTTGCTCTGCTTGATCGACAAAGTCTCCCACAAGGGCAGACCACAAAGACGGAGTAGCCAGAAATTCGATGCGTACCAACGGATGTTGCTGCTTGCTGGTCTCGAATATTAAAAAGGGCTTTTTTCATTTGTAGTAAAAGTGAAGCTTAGATAGAAATTGCTGTCTTACAAAAAAACAGTGTGTTTCGAAAATACTTGAAAACGTAACTTCATACTATCAGGTTGTCCCATAAGTTCCGTCCGTTTTGAATTTCAATCGCAATAAATCATGAACTTCTTCTTTGTAAATAGGCTCCAAGGTACCATTCGATAGAGCAAAGCAAGTTCTACAAGATGGCTATCTCGCTTTTGCAACAGCTTTGACCCATCTCGAGTTTAAAGGCGAAAACTAAAAAGATTCAACTGTCTGAAAAATTGAGAAAAAATCATAACTCCGTTTGAAAAAATCCTACAAAAATTCTAACTTGCTCGAGGAAACACTATCCATACAAGACATTTATATGCGCAGTTGCCGTATTTTTTTATGGTTAGAAATTAAGAAAACGAAGATTTTCATGTTTTTGCTAAAGCGATGCTGTGCTATTCCTACATACGTGCTTGTGTACTACAGGCCAGTACAAGTACAGACACAAATTTTCAGCGCTCTATAGGCTTTAGCTCGCGAGAAATAATCGTTTTAATATGAAACACCCGACTGTACGAAGCTAAATTCAGTGTTTCTCGAGAACTAAAGCCTGTAAAGAGCTGAAAATTTGTGTCTGTACTTGTACTGGTCTGTAGTATACAAATACTAGTGTGGGAATAGCACAGCATCACTTTGGCAAAAACATGAAAATTTTCGTTTTCTTGATTTCCATCGAAGGAAAAAATACAGGAACAGTGTATATAAATTGCTGATGTGGATGTCCTGTCTGTGAACAAGTTAGGAATTTTCTAGATTTTTTTGGAAGGAGACGATTTTTTCCTCATTTTCGGGCGGTTGGATCTTTCTGGTTTTTGCCTTCAAACTCGAGATGGATTTCAACTCTTGCGAAAATATGAAGCTCATCTTGTAGAGCTTGCTTTGGTCTATCGAATGGTACCTTAAGTTTTGTTTAAAAACAAGAAGTTCATGACTTATTGCGATCGAAAGCTGAAACGGACGGAACTTATGGGACAGCCTGATAGATTAGGGCCCGGCACGAGGATGGCAAATGTCAAGCTGGAAATCGTAGAAAGCAAAGGGTGTATCATGCATATGTGTTCGCATGTACATACACTCTCTCACAATTTGCTACACGACTGATAGCAAAAGCACGGTTTTGCTCTCGTGTCACTTCCAGAAATCAAATCACTTTTCCCTAAATGATTATCAACTGCCTCCTTTACAGCGCACTCATAATATGGGTTTTAATTTAAAGTATCAACGGACAAGGGTTAGGAAAAGCATAATGTGAAGTACTGTGAAAGAACGATGTGATTGAAGGTTGTGGCAAGTTTTTTCTGAGAATTTTCATTAGTGAGAAGTGGGAAAATGACTCTTGCAACGCACAGGTAGCTTTTGGGCCGAATTTAGTGTGACATGTGCAATAGGGAGATAGAGCAAAGATGAAATTATATGATAAACCTACGTGTATGAAGAGCGCGCTTAACTTTTTTTGAAATTTTGTGAGCATATGCCCAGTCTAAGGCCACCTGAGGATGGTAAAACATTCTATGCATATTTTTTTCGCAACTTTCACATAAAATTGTCTTACCATTTTGCTTTCGAAACTCCTTCTCTCTTTGTGAGGGCCCGGAATAGCCAACGCCGCTCCTCGGGAAGAAAGCGCCCAATTAAACGACTTACGTAACCGCGACCAGGTGGTATTCTAAGAATCAAAAGTGGCAAAGGCGAATTCGTTTTACATACCAGACGTACGATGCTCATCAGATGATTTGCTTGAGCCTCCATACATCCTTAGAAGGATTACCGTTATTGTGCAACTTAACATGCACGCGAATTAAGCAATAGAGAAGCTCAAAACTTCTTTCAGAAACACGCTTCACAGATAAAGAAAGTATATTTGAAATCAGCGTTCCCAGGTTTTTCTTATAATATACTTCATTTTCCCAATTGCCACTTCGACCAAGTTGTCGCGGATTGCGCGACTTCTCTGAAGGAGTTCGCGTTGCACAGGGTGCTACGTTAATCTTCGCGCTGCCCAGCCCCCTCACACCGCTATAAATGCCCAGCTTTCAATTTATCACTGAGTCGTCAACTTGTGAATGGAGCGGTCGAGCTTCCGTCTTCAAGGCAATCAATCGAGCAGCGCCTTCCTCAACTCACGCGTACTACAACAAAACCACGCCGTGAAGGACTGGTCACTGCGCAGACGAGGTAGCCGGTTGCGCTCGCGCCTGACACCGTCGGCGATGCAGCGTCAGAGGTTTTCCGAGTCGCTGGCCCTTAGGAATGCAAAATTTTGGCCTGATGTACTCATCCTTCGTATTGAGTGTAAGATGTGTTATGAGGATAAATGGTGGGCATTTGAACACTTGTATTATTTATTGATTGATTCGATGAGCCACAGTTCGATTGTGGCTCTGAAATTGTTTCGTAGCATTTGTCGCTATTATTGTAATCTAGTCTAAAGTAATCAATCGGTGTGAAGGCTGGCACAATCCTAGCTAGTGCCACGGTTATAGGGTGCCCCTGCTGTCGATAATGATGGTCAAGTCTCATACGCAGGGTGCGCAATAGCTCATAGGTAGGCTGGTTACAAGGGCTTCTAGGCTTACACGGCATTTGTAATGTGGCAGGCCAAAACATTCTTTCACAAGTATCGCCACCCTTTGTACGTCGAACTCTCTCACGAAGGGGATCCCCGGACTCCTGCATGATTACAAAACCATGCACGATAAAGACCCGAATGAGTTTCAATATGTGTTCGATGCAGCTCTTCCTTCTATTTCTTATGGACACATTTTCGGACCACAATCTGTATGCTTTTTTTGATGATTGCCAAAATTCTAGACCCGTCACTTTTGTTTGCTCAAAGTTAGGCTAATTTTTAGAAATTTCATTCCAATGTTTTCGAAAGAGTTAAGTATGAATCAACTAGAGCAATTCTCGGACTTCTTTTAATCTGCTGTTTTTAGCTTTAAAAAGGTATTTCTTCGGAGCTCTCGATTTTCATTTTCAAAGTCATTAAACACGCAATTGCAGCAAGTACACAAAATCTTTTGAAGTTTCTGCGAATTGAAACGTAATTTTCACTAAACATAATTTATGCGACATAACCAAGTTTGATTTTCTTTGAAAAATCAGCATTTTGGAATTCTACTTTTACTTTATCAACGTAATCAAAAAGCCGCGATTTTCATTAAATAAATAATTATAACGGATTTGGTGAACTGGCTTATGTGCTAAAATGGGTGCAATGTAGACAAAGGCTTGCTCTACATAACAGTCACCAGCATTCTTTGAAAGCGTCAAGATAAAAAATTTTAAAATTCAAGAAAGATTTGGCGTTACTGCTGACTACTCAAAAGGCTATGGCGATAACATTGCAAAAGCAGGGTAGATCAAAGAGCAAATATAGCTGTAAGAAAGAGGATAAGAAACTAAATCAAATGGTGCTTAAATCGTTCTTGGATTGTTGTTCTGTGAGTTCCAGTGAACGATGAGAAAAACGGACAAAACTTTCGGGTTAATATTAGGTTGGTGCAAAAGTTCTGTCGTTTCTTTTTCAAAAATTTGTAACCTCACGAGGTTTCAACGGATTTGCTTGTTTGTAATTTTATTAGAAAGATTAGGTCATCCGCTTTCAATCGTTGTTTTGTGGAGCTTTTGTTTCACACGAGTGCAGAGATAAAAATGGAAAAGTAAGACCATGTAAACTTTGACCATTTTAAGTTAGGTCACCAAAAATCTGGAATGCTGCAGAAAAATCTGAAATCATTAGTACATATGTTTTTTGGTTTACTCTTTGCATATGTGAAAAGTTTGTGGTGTTTGGACGTCTCTGTGAGAAGTTATGATTTTCGCGAAAACTGACAATCAATTAATTTTGGCGTTTTCCATAATAAACTCGATATTCATAGCTCCTCACAGAGACGTCCAAACAGCACACACTTTTCACAATTGCAAAGAGTAGGTCAAAAACATATGTACTGACGATTTCAGATTTTCTGCAGCATTCCAGATTTTTGGTGACCTAACTTAAAATGTCAAAGTTTACATGGTCTTACTTTTCCATTTTTATCTCTGCACTCAGTGTGAAACAAAAGCTCCACAAAACAACGATTGAAAGCGGATGACCTAATCTTTCTAATAAAATTACAAGCAAGCAAATCCGTTGCAACCTCGTGTAGTTACAAATTTTTGAAAATGAAACAATAGAACTTTTGCACCAACCTCATATATCAGTGGCGTTCCCGAGATTTCGGACCCAAAATTATTTTTGAGTGAAGATGCGCGGCGTCAGCCACGCACTTCGAATACATTTGGGATGCTTCCCAAAATTCTTGTGGGGCCATGATCTCAAAAAAAGGGAGCGTGACGGCATCACGCCCCTGAAAATTTTTTTTACAAGGCTAATTTAAACTTTTGAAAAACTTTAAAAACTATTTTAATTATTTACAAGTATAAACAAGGCACTTGCATATTTTTATAACCCTTAAAAGTAACTTTAAAAAATTTCATGACTCATTCTCCTCCCCCCCCCTCCCGCCCCTCCCCCCTCGGACTGCCACTGATATACACTGATATACAGGGTGTCCCAAAAGTATGTATACTGTATGATCGTTAATATCTCTTTCCTCAAAAAGTCTACCGTTAGATACCATTCTGTAGGCTTGGCTTCAATTTAGATTTACAGTGAAGAGCGAAGCACGGTCGTTCTTCATTACTGTAGGATTACGGTAG